ATGGTCAATGTGGTAAATTAAAATTCTTTGCCAATGCTAAAATAAATAAATTAGTCCAAATTTTATTTACACTCAGTATGTTACTTTTTGTCCAATGTCACTGATAAATTATATGAAAAATACTACCAGCAGAAGTAAAAATCTAACGTCTTGACATTACAAACCTACACATTTACTTTAACTTTAATGTATTGACCTACAAATCTTTTTAGTTTCCTCCAGAAATTCATAACATAACCTTCCAAGATGATGGCATCGAAATCAGCAGTTGTAAAGAGAACTTTGGCATTGTTCATGGTAGTATGCACGGCGACCTCCGTCATGTCGAGCTGGCATGGCTAAACTATGCTGCTGCAATATTTGGGCGAGCTCCCATTCATGAGGTTCGTCTATGCTGGGAACCTCTCATAAAAATTGAAGGGTGCGTAGCAAACAATATCGGCGAGCAATGTTTTGGAATGAAGGTACCCTGTTCTTCTTGCTGTCAAGCCATCAATCAGATTTCTACCAACTGCTGGCCAAAAATATTTCCTTTGTTTCAGATGGAGTAGAGATGGCAATTTTTCCCGCCCCGCCCCGCCCCGCCGGGGCCCCACCCCGAATGGGGCAAAAAAACCCGCCCCGAACGGGTTGGCGGGGTGGGACAGGGTGAGGTTCATCGCCCCGTCGCGGGTCGCGGGGCAGGGTGGGGCGGAGATGCCCCGGCCCTAATCCGCCCCGTGAAGAATTAAAAAAAAAAAAAATTTTGTTTTGGACATTATTTGTTTTGGACATTTTTTTGTTTCAAGTGCTTGCTTTGAATATTGATATAGTTAGTTTGAACATTATTTGTTTTGAATTTTAAAATTTTGAATTTGTATTTTAAATAAAAAAAAAAAACAAATGGGGCAAGAAACGGGGCAAGTTCTCGCCCCGTACCCGCCCCACCGAGCCCCGCCCCGTCTAAGGCGGGGTGGGGCACGGGGCGGGGTGGGGGAGTGGCGTGGTGGGGTGAGGGTGCCCCGTTCCGAACCCGCCCCATTGCCATCACTAAGATGGAGCCTACCATCCTCAAGAAATCCTGCACTGCCACTACATAAGTATATATGTGAAGGGGTTGATTTCTTTAATGACGGCAAATCCGAATGACTTATTTTGGTGATATAGTTTCTTATTTTAGATAATAAGAACTCATTGCAGCGTTGATGAAGAATATTCATATTTTTGAATGAATATCTCTTTATCTATTTTAGGGATTATGTACTCGTAATAAAAAAACGAGCCATCTAAGTTTATTCAATGATCATAAAAAAGAGAGGGAGGTTAGAAAAAATTGTAAATTTTGAGATAAAGAAATTATAAGAAATGAAGATAGAGTATAAATTTGCCTCTTCTTATTATTGATAGTGCAAATTACATCACATACATATACACTACAGTTGGGAGACAAAGGGAATAAAATGTGGTTACAATGGAGTGATAATTACAAAAGAATATCCTCATATCCTAACAGAATCCATGTGCAATTAAACGGTCCATCCAGCATGCATTCTTCTAGGTTCTTCTATTGCAGAATCAGCAAAGGTTGTGGATGATCAGGCAGGATGGTTGACAGGGACGCCAGATCATTTTTTCAGTTCTTCAGCTTCCTCTTCTAGTGCTTCATCTTTCAATAGCCGCCCGCAAGATGGAGGAGTTCTGTTATTACATAAACAGCTGTTAGAACGCAATTGCTCCAGTATTTTAAAGGAATGTTACTCTGAAATCTTAGGACCCTTGTAACGTTCAATATATGCTGATGTTTCCTCTCAACAATAACATTTTGTTAAGGGATTTCAACGCAAGATTTTTGATGAATGATCCCTTTTTCAAGGTAAAAATGTTTCATGTTAAATTCTGCCCCATTATCACTCCTTATGACTTTGATTTTGCTTTGGAAGTGAATTTCCATCAATTTATAAAAGTATTGCAAAGCACTGGAGGCCTCAGATTTTTATCTCCGCGTGTATATCCAAGTGCATCTAGTGTTATCGTCTAAAATAGTGAGAAAATATCGCGAACCGTCATAGCTAATTTCGTTGCAAGGTCCCAATATGTCACAATGTATTAAATTAAAACATTTTTTAGATTTATGCTGACTAATAGGAAAAGGAAGCCTATGTAATTTTGCTAAAGGACATACAGGGCACGATTTATTGTGAGAATTTAACTTAGGTATAGTGTCTTCAAAGGTAAGGACTGAATGGGATGGATGTCCCATTTTGTAATGCCAAATGTCAAGATCATTATCGTGATTGATAGTAGATGCTGTAAGGGAGAATTGCCAGGTAAAAGTTTCAAGGTTTCCTGAAAAGCCATAGAGGAGACTGCTGAAGGTGAGACTTGGTACAGGCCAGATTTTGCTTCACCCATCCCAGTCGTTGTCCAAGTCGAAAGGTCCTAAATAAAACAAACGTTAGGAAGAAAAGCAACACAGCTATTCAATGATTGGGTTAGTTTCTTAACAGACATGAGATTGAAAGAGAATGAAGGAACACATAAGACGTCATGAAGCACTAATGTGTTAATGACATGTGCAATCCCAACACAGGTTACTGGGACACTGATTCCATTTGGCAAGCTCACTGAGCAGCTAGTTTTGGATTTGATTAAGGAGAGATACGATGGGTTGTAGATCATATGATCTGTAGCCCCTGTATCCAGGATCCAAGGAGTAGCAAAATTGCGGAACTTTGTAGAATTAAAAGTGGATAAACAGAGTGATATACCCAAAATTTTTGAAAGAGCATTTCCTGAGTCTGTGTTAGCAATGCTTTGAACTTGGTTTGCTGAAGGAGTTATGTTCTGATTTGTTGATGATTTAAGAAGGGCCATCAAATGAGAGTATTCTTCTTGAGTGAGAGACACATTTGGCTTGCTGATATGCAATTCCTGATTCATGGAAACTTGGTTTGCTGTTGGTGTATATCTGCCCGTTCCCTCGAATTTTTGGCTGGGTGGATATCCAATATCCACGTAGCTTGAAGCACTTGCTTGCTGTATGGCCTGGCATCTTACAGTGTAAGCATATGGGCTTATTAGGATCCTTGAGGCATTTCTCAAGCGAATGACCTGGAACCTTACAATAGGTATAATAGTATCTGTCTCTCCTTTGTGAAATGAAACTCTGTCTGCCATTATTCTTAAAGTTCTCTTTAGCTAGCAATGCCATTGTTTCATTGACAGGACCATCGTCTGCGATTTGCCTTCTGTTCTCTTCTTGTTGGATTATAGAATAGACTTCATTCAAAGAAGGAAAATGTTTGTTCAAAAGCACTTGAGCTTTGATGGCCTTGTAAGACTTATCTAACCCCATTAGGAACTTCATTACCCAATCACGATTCTGGTTTTCCACCACTGTCTTCAGAGTTCCACAAGTGCAGTTAGGGATAGACTCATAATTCATCAGTTCATCAAGTAGAGTTTTGAATTTCGAGAAATACACACTTACAGCATCCTGATTTTGTGATAGAGTCGTGGCAGCCTACTTGATTTCGAAAATTTTGGGAACGTTCTGCTGTGCAAAACGCTGCTCCAGCTCCAGCCACAACTGATAAGCGGTCTCAGCATACGTGGTGTTGCATTTGATGTCTACTGCCATGGTGTTTTGGAGCCAAGTGATCACAATATCATTACACCTGAGCCAGTGTTCCATCAATGGGTCATTGGCTTCTTGCGGTTCTTGAATGCGCCATCTATAAATTCCAACTTGTTCTTTATTTTGAGAGCTCTTCTCATCGACCTCGCCCATGAGTGATAATTGTCTGCATCTAGTACATGAGTAACCGGGATAGATCCAGTCCCATCATTGTTCCCAATGTAGTATGTGCTACTGAAGTGAGTTGGATCGCGAGACTTGGAATTCTCATTTTGGTTAGTGTGTTGTGGAAGGTTTTGTGGGAGATTTGATGATTGATTATCTGATTTATCCATAAAGCTCTGATACCAACATTTAAAACTCTATTTCTTTAATATTCTTTACTTCTATCTCATATTTAAACGAAGAACGTATTATTGATAGTGCAAATTACATCACACACATATATATACTACAGCTGGGAGACAATGGGAATAAAATGTGGTTACAATGGAGTGATAATTACAAAAAAATATCCTCATATCCTAACAGGATCCGTGTGCAATTAAACGGTCCATCCAGCATGCATTCTTCTAGGTTCTTCTATTGCACAATCAGCAAAGGTTGAGGATGATCAAGCACGATAGTTGACAGAAGCGCCAGATCATTTTCTCAGTTCTTCAGCTTCCTCTTCTCGTGCTTCATCTTTCAATAAAAATAAGGTGTTTAATTTTCTCTCATAATTTTCTGCTTATTATGGCGAGTCACGATAGAGGTAAAAGATGATGTAATCTCATATTAAAGCAAATCTCTATAAATCTAACGTATTCTTTTGTGCTTTATTTATTTATTTTCATTGTGATTCTATTTTTCGTTGATAGAGAATGATAATTTCTATCCAAAAAAATTATTAAATTTAAAAAATGCCAAATTAAATGCAGCACCATCTTCCCGTATTATAATGTATTGTGCATTATCCATGTTAGACTGAACTAGAGATCATTAATATTGAACAAAGTTATAATTTAACTCATCAAACATGTCGTAAGAACATCCAACCCGTCGCAACTGGATAGAGATGAGATAATATTGCTATTAATTATGCGTAAGTAATTCATTATATCTGAAAAAAATAAATAAATAAAGTATCAATTTCACTTTGGACTGTATTGGAGTCTCTTTGCAGTTCCCACTCAAGCATGACATTAGAACAATTGCACTAATTACTAATTTAATGTTTTCAAAACTGTCGAAAATTTATTTCCCTATTCACTGCAAAATTTGAAAGACATTAAATGCAACCAAGGTATAAATTAAACAGCAAAGATGAGATATAAATATCTAATCTAGTTTCAAGGCCCATGCAAACACCCAGAAATGAAATATTCAACCATTCGAATAGAAAATGCCTAACACCAGAACCATGGATGCAATTGCCCTTATATTTGCAAGCATCTTGGTTATTGCTGCACCAAACTTTGCACAAGAAGTTAATGCACATGAACTTTATTTGCCAAATTTAACCGGTGTCGCTTTGCCGCACTTTTTTCAATGCCTTCGCTCGGTCGTAACCATCCCGAGGTGTACCGAGGAACTGATATTATCCATCTTTAGCCTTGAAATCGAATTACTTGGTCCCGAATGTTGTGATGCACTCTTGAATGTTGATGATAAATGTTGGCCTAAGAACTTACCTGTGAATCCTTTTTTTCCAGCGACCATCAAGAACTATTGTTTGTCAACAATAGATTGAGCAGTGATACAGACTTAAAGCCTAATAACTGATATAAATTGGATGAAACTTTAAAATAAGGTGGTTAAATTTAAGGGAATGCAGCTTCATTTTTACTTTTGTGTTTTTCTCATTTTCGCTTCCTCGAGATTGCAAGCAGTGCCACTTCTAATTTTTGAAATCTGATACGAACTTCATAAATTGGGCCCCAATGACCCTCTAGTCATGGTATACATTCAATTCGTTTTGTATCAATAATACTTTTACAAAACTAATTGTCAACTTAAAAATCACCAATAAAACAGCAAATAAAATGGATTATCCAAAATATTTATATTATAATTAAATAACAAGCCCGAAAATGTCGCAAATTATTGCGATAAATATTGCTAAATTTCATAAGCGTATAACTTTTGATTCATAATTTCAAACACGCTTAATAGAAATTGTAAGCGGTATGCCCTAAATCCAATCAATCGTGGATATAAACACTTTTAATTTATAATCGATGCATGTCATTTACGGTAGATCTATTATTTAATTAAATTAATATTATAATAAATAAAATAAAAGAAACCGTAGATTCAACTCTTGGTAATTTGTTAATCACAAGGAGTTGTGATTTTGAGATACAAATTACATATGATTAAATCTTAAATCATTCATGGTCATAAGTAATAACGAAATACGAATATCGTTATTATAGATAGACCATCACATGTGACATTTTTTATTTGTGAAGTAAGTAGATGACCTCACGAACTAAAGAGTAGTGACACTTAAGTGAATACATGAATATTTTGTTATAGAACAAAACATTGGAGACATATTGGGGGAGATTCCACTTGGATAATTATTTGAGTGTCAGTTACTAATCTCTAACGTTCAGTAGTGAAATTGGTGTTTCGACTTGAGATCATTATAGTGCATTACATGAGAACAGTTATACTTTGATAATATTGCTCTGCCAAGAATCGCTAATGCGACATTGTTTGGGTATGTCAAGAATCATATAAAGATTGTAAATTATCAATAGAGGATTTGTCACTTAGATAGTAATAAATTTTGATCTACATTTCATTCAATTAAATTGATATAAGTCGAAAAATAGTTTTCGACTTATATTTCCTGATACATTGTTGATGTCAATTTGGAACGACGAATGTGAATTGTTTGATAAATCAAAATATGTATTTTAATTTATCAATTTTGATTAGATAAAAATAATAATTCATATGTATCGTGATCGAGAATTTAAAGGATTACACACAAAAGGAGAACTATAAAAATGAGATTTATCAATTAATTAATTGACAAGTGTTGGATAATTAATGAATGTGTTACTTCTTAATATGCACAAATTAATTAATTGGATTAATTAATTCGTGAAACAAATTTAATTAATTAGATTAATTAAATATTTGACCGGATTAAATTTAAGATACTGGTCAAGCCCATATAGATTTATATTAAAAAGCTATTAGAGTTTTAGAAAAAAACGGAGTACAATTAATTATCTTGTTACCACAAGAAAAGAGAAGCCATAATTCTTTCATTCTTGTTTCCTGTATGGATTTTCATTGGAGACATGACAATTGGACAGTTATGGATTGTAGATTGTGATTGTTAGTGTTCCAAGATCAGCAAATGAGGTTGCAAATTCTACAAAATATATAATTCCAATCACAATTTCTATCTAAATTAAAAAGAAGATCTTTAGTGGAAATTGAAATCTGTTTTATTTTTCGCTGTATATGATTAAGTAAACTCCCATCAAAAATTACATAAGAAATTCCACATTTTCACTTCTTCTCCACTTGTTCTACTTTTTTGTGCCAAAAAAAATATATCAACTCGTGAATAAAACCTTCTTTTTAACTTTTGTTCTTTATTTCTTTTAGACCAAAAGAATTTTTTTTCTTTTTTTTTGTTAAATTCATATAACTATTATGATTTAAGGATTAATATTTCATAATAGAAACAATAATGAAAAAGTGGATTCAAATAACATAAAAAATTACAAATTACAAAAAAATAAAAAATAAAAAATTGTAAACTTAGTTATGCAAAAAAAAAAATTATTCACGAGCTTGAGCGTACTTATGAGCCATGACTAAAAATAGGTACTCACATTGGTAAGTTAGGGCCGTTAGGCGGGGTAGCCTAGGACGAACAACGATGGGGTCCAATTCCGACAAACCGCATTCATATAGTATTGTAACCACTTGAATATCAATGGTCAACAACAGATCTACAAGCTCTAGAACATTTGCATGTCATTGAATATATTGATACTTGCATCTCATACAGTACATTGTAGTGAGATTCGAGGTCCCCAAAGATAAAAGATGTTGATACTTTAATCTAAATGTTGATTAAGCCCCTATTTGATTAAATTCTTATTTTCAACTACACATTCTCACAATAAAATATTTTACACGTAAACCTAAAACATTTTCTTACTTTTAAATCACACATTCTTCAAAAATTCACTATTACAAAATGCATTATCAACAAAAAATAAAAAATAAAAAATATGAAAATGGGGCTCAAACACATGCTAAAGATGTGGATTTTGAAAATGAGATATAATAAAACAAAGGATAGGAATTATGCATACGTTCATGTTATTACTTACTAAGAAATCACTCATATAGCTTTGCAATATAGGTATGACAATATATGTACTAGAGGCTGGTGCTGCTCTCAGATGGGACGATTGTGTATTTAGTATCTAACCATGGTTCGACGAGTCTGTCACCATGGAGTTTCAAGAAAAGCTTACGACTGATTCTAAATTAATTATTTAGCTTTTGGAAGTAATTCATTATATTTATAATATTAATTACCTAGTTTTTGAGCTATCTGTTTTGAGTAAAATATTAATATCAAGTTTAAACCATTATATTTTGTAATTATATTTTAGTTATATCTAAACTAAAGTAATATAAGGATTTTAGAGTTAAATACTTACTTTCTATACATTCATTTAGTGTTTTTAATTGATTAAAAAGTTATTTTTAGAACAATAGAGGTTTGTAATGCCCCCACCGTTCCATTTATATAGTTTGATTTTGTTTTTCACACGAATTAAGAAATCTTATTTAATATTACTGAAAAAGTAATTTTTGCCAAAAACTTTCTTAATTTACTCTTATTTAATCGTCAACAACTAATAGTAAATTAGGAAAAATTGGTTATAACTAGACAAATTAAATAGGAGTATATTCGTAAACGAACAAAACAAAACATTCTCAATAAAGAAACGAGACTATATAATTAAGACAATAAAATAAGAAAATGCAGTCTATATAAATGGGATGGAGGGGATAACATTATTTTATTATTTTACAAAGGAAATCGATAGTAAAATTAATTAAATTCATTAAAATTAGAGTGAAATTTGGGTGTTGCTAGTCATGGCAACGAGCCGAGCTGAGCTGAGCTGAGCAAAAGCTCGGCCAAAAAAACCAGACTCGGCCGGAGCTTTCGACTCAAGCCTTAGCGAGTCGAACCGGCTCGATTTTTTTTCTGTCAAATCTACAATTGCCTGTGCAATGCAATCAGCTAAAAATAGCTTATTTTATTTTATTTTTTTAAGCGGGCAGCTCGTACGGCCTGACAAGCTTTTTTGTCATCCCTAGGTGTTGCAATCATTCTTATATTTTTCACGTTTGTAGGGATAATTTGCATCCAAAAAGAGATTAGTATCAGTGAAAGAAAATGAAATCCGTGCATTATATGAACATTCATTCTTGGACTTGGGAGACTATTGTATTGTGTCAGAACAACCAACGACCATCTCCACCAATGCATCACCTCAATAAAAATGTATTTTACTTCCAACCCTACATGAAATCTACACATTATATGAATATCAATACATAGACTTGAGAACTATTGTTATATCTCGCTTCAAGAGGCTCCAGATCAGTTGGCAGTCGCATGGCTGAGGTAATGTCACATGAGGCCCACACTTCTGGTCATCCCCTATCCAGGCCGAGGTGGGGACCACGCATGCGGCGATCACTTTTGCTGAAGTGTCAAGGTGAGGCTTAGCATGGCGACACATCTACTGCGAAAAGAAAGATAGTATGCACCTTCTATGATGAAGGAACCACTCCATTTTGTGCCTCTTTTAAGAGATCTTTTGTACAAAGATCTCTCCGAGATAAATTTTTTATATAATTGATTGATGTGACGTCTCTACAGTAAACGTCGAAAGGTCAAGCCACTAATCTACTTATCAAGAAGTATTAAATGCCCGTCCACCTATGGATTGATTGATAAACGCCTAGGAGGAGACAATTCGGTCAACACATGTGACCACGTGTCTCTTCATTTAACAGTCCTCATTTCACCCGTAATGCTATATATACTCACACTTATTAAGATTTTGAAGGTAATGCAACTCTACACACAAAATTATATACATATCTCTCTCCCTCGTTTAATTTTTTGTACACTTACCAGTGATTCACATTACAAAAACGTCCCACGCTATATTTTATCACCGTCGACTAACTTGACCGTTAGAGTGCTTATCCCGATTTCCACCACCACCGAAAAAGGTCATGGATGACTAACGATTTTATCTTTGTGTGTAGGAGAGTGTCTATGTGAAGTTGCAACTGTTGGCCATTTGGGATGTGCCAATTTCGAGGTCAACAAGTTTTATATTTATTAAGAGTTTTATTAGGTTAAATTAGACTGCTAGATGTTGTTTTGGTTCAGAAAACATTTGAAAGTTTGTTAATCCATCCGTTTTCTGTATTCTTAAGAATCATTGGATACTCAAGTCCAAATTCTCGTATTCAACCAAAAAAACAAGTTTATGGAGTGTTGATCATATTCCGCTATTGAACCATCCATACATTTACGTCCAGAAAAAGTTACAATTTTGTTCAATTCTCTATTAAAATTCATAACTATATTTTCCCTCTTTTATCGTATATTTATACTTTTAAAACCCATAAAATAATGAAAAATCTGGGATATATATCACATCGACTGTTACTAAT